TTGCTCTTCTTGCTCGATGCTGCGGTCAAGGGTCACATTTTCGAATGTGATTAAGCCACTCATGACCCTTTATCACAAGTAATGCTTACTTGGAAGGAAATGTTAATGCGTAATGTGGGGATAAAGTCAATGTGAGATTTATACTTTAACGTATATAACCCTTGTATACGTATATAACGTATATAAATCTATGCAAAACAAAGAAACATAGTCGATTCTTTGCTTCGAATAATTTGAAAATGTCAAAATTATCAAATTTTTGATAAAGAATTTAAAGCAACTATTGTAAGCATTCTTCTTCTTTAGGGTTTTTCCTGAACAAGAGTACTTTAAAATCTTTATTCTCAAATTAAAATACTTTTAATCTTTATTCCTTAAATAAGGCACTCTCTAACATGAGTGACATGTCATGATTTATGTGGCAAAAACTTGCCACGTTGTATCTCTTCCTTTTTCTTTTCCTACTCTCATCACTGGTTCATCAACAATGGCCGGCCATCAACCACCATTGAATGGATTCGGATTTAAACTGATTTACAACAAATAAAAATAACAATTAAAAATCACACCCATTATAAAAGCTTCCACCATACCACCTGCAGTTTTGCACATTAATTTTTCAGTCCTATTATTTTATAATTTTTGTACTTTGATTGAGTATTAGTTTACCCATTTACATTTTGCTAAAAAACTCTGTTATTTTCGATTCTGCTGGTGAGTAAGTATGGAGGCCACAATCTACACCTCCAGAGAAATTTAGTTTTGATGGTGCGTTGAACAAAAAGCATAGAGCTGGAGGTTTGGGAGTTGTTATAAGAGACACAGAGGGCATTGTCCTAGGAGCACTAGCTGTTAAAATACAAGGAGTTTTGAATCCCTGGATAGTGGAAAGCTGGGCAGCAGTCAAAGCTCTAGTTTCTGCAAAGGACATGAGTCCACAAAAGTTATACTGGAAGGAGTTGCATTAGGAGTGATAAGTCGGATGAGAAATGATGAAATTGATCTATCCCCAATTGGCATCATCACTGATGAGGCTTGTATGCATGTAAAAGAGTTTAAACAGTGTAATTTATCTCATGTTAGACGAACAGAAAATAGAGCAGTGCATGAGTTGGTACCAATTATTTTTGCAGATTGTAACCAAGTGGTTCATCAATGAATTTAATCAATCTATAATTCTAAAAAAAAACCTCTGTTATTTTTCCATGTATGTGGAACCAATTCGAAACTTCAAATTTGAATTAAACATATTTACACTAATTTTAGGGGTTGTTTATCGGTGGATTCATTTGGGTAATAATCAAGAAATCTATTAAAGACAAAAAAAATTAGAGTAAAACAACATATTCAAAGAAACAACACAAGATCTGGACTGTTGGTTAAATTCAAACAACATATTCATGATAAAGTTGCAAAGAAAAAGAGGATTATTAGTTACATTTGGGAAGCAAGTATAAAAACAAGTCTCCACTGATCTCATCTAATTAAAGAAAAATTCAAGTCTCTCTCTCTCTCTCTCTCTCTCTCTCTTCAAGTACATAAATCTGACCTATAAAAGCAATCTAACATGGATTGCAAATATGATTGGGCATGGGAGTTCGTCGGCAAAAGAGAAAACAAATTGAAGGAGGAAGAAAACAAATGTTAAGAAAAAAGTCAAGAGCTTATGTGGTCATTATGTGCTTACATGGCAAAAAATACTCTATTTTAAGAAATAAGATAAAAAATAAATTATTTTTCGAAAAAAAAAAGATTTTTAATTACCTTAGGATAGGAAAAAACTCTCTTCTTTAGTGGGTAACCTTGTTCCAATTATTATAGTATTGATTTTGGATGGGAAGGGCAATTGTCATTTGAATTGGAGCAGGGAACAAGCATGATAGGATGATTAGAGTGTATGTTGAGGCACAAGAAGAGAGCATTATTAATTCTAATTAATGATCACAAATTAGTTACTTATTTCGCTATAAGAAAGTGGATATTTAGCAACCATACTTTGCAACGACTAAAAATATCATTGCAAAATCTTATTATATTTATTACAATTTTTATAGTCATTATTTGATTGAATTTTTTAATATTTTATACAATGATAAATTTTATTGTTGTGAATTCCCATTATATTTGTAATAACAATAAAAGTTGTTGCGAAAAATTTTTTTATTTCCAATGATTTTTTAATGTCATTGTTTAATTTTTTTTAATATTTTATACAATGATAAAAAAGTTGTTACAAGAATTTTTATCTTATTTACAAGGATTAAAAATTATTGTTGCAAAATAGAATAAATTTGCAATGACTTCTCATAATCGTTACTTAATTGATTTTTTTTATATATTTTATACAATAATAATTTTTAATGTTGTGAATTCCTATTATATTCTTAACAACCAAAAAATTTGTTACGTTGCTTAGTTATATTTCTAACGACTTTATGGTGTCATTGCTTAATCAAAATTTTAATATTTTATACAACGATAAAAAATTTATTATAAATATTTAATCATATTTATAGTGAAAAAATATTTCTTGTATTATGAAATGAAAAAATTGTTTTATATAATATACTATTTCTCTTCTTATGAATAATAAAAATGAAATTAATTTTGCTAGAAAATTTTACTCTCATTGTGGTTGGAAAACACTTTTTTTTTTCCTTTTTGTTGCAGAGGATTGGAAAACAAATGGATAAGAGCAAGACAATTCATGGTCGTTGCTTATTTGAATATTTTTAATATTTTATACAATGATAATTTTTGTCGTTACAAATTTCTATTAAATTAGTAACAACAAAAAAAGTCATTGTGATATACTATTATTTTGTAATGACTTTCTGTTCTGGTTAATATTTAATATTTTAAATATTTTACATAATAACAAAAAAGGTTGTTATAATATATATACCATATTCATAACGATAAAAAAGTTGTTACTAAATCTTATTAAATTTATAATGACATTTCCTTATTGTTGCATATTTAATTTTTTTATATATATAAAGATGGATTATGTTTGAAAATTCCTGGTGATTAATGGGTTTTTTTCAAAATTCTCATGTGTGGGTGTTTTTCTTTTTTTTTATCTCTCTAATTTTTTGGGTTTTTATGTTTGAAGTTATTGTGAATTTTATTTCATGTGTGAGATATTTGTTTATTTGTATCCCAAATATTTATTTTGTGTTACTTACATGCATGAGAAAACTTATATTAAAATTTTTAGGTGAAATTTATGAATTTTTTTTCTAAAAAATGATTAAATAAAAACTTTAATAAAAAATTTAACCCAATAAATTGATAGAATTTTACGTGAACATCAATAATATGAAAAAAATATTATTAAAAATGTTGTTTATATATCAAAATTAATCTATACTTATTCAACGGTAAAAATTTTGACAACATTTTTAATAAAAATATCTATCTAAAAACACATATTAAAATTTTTTCAAAATTTACACACTTGATTTTTGTAATGGGACCTTTTAATCTATCAATTTTTATTTTCAATTTTAATTTTTATTTAATTGCTTTTAATTAGGGACTTTATTAACTTCATCGAAATTTCATCTAAGTCTATCACTTACACGCAACTGCTTAGTTTTTTTCTTTTTTTGATTATATATGTGATTGAATTTTGTAAATTTCTAGGTTTCCCGGTATGTATTTGCTGATTGGATGTTGCAATGATGAAATAACCCACAAGTACAAGGGCAAAACTTATATGAGCGAAGCAGAGCGTTATGAATCCCTTCGCCACGACAAGTGTTACTTCTTTCTACAGCTAATTCAAGTTTTCCAATCCCTATGTTTTTAATAACAATGGCTTTCGTGCTCGTGTAGCATTTTGCGGAGTCCTTTTTCAGGTAATGCATATACTAATCTGTTGAAGGAAGCTGAATACTTTTTGTGAGCTGGTTCGGATATGGATTCAGTAAGCTTTAAGCATAATATGTTTAATCTTCCCTTTTCTTTTGTCTGTGTATGAAAACTCATGTAGTTGTTTATTTTGCAGAGGATTGCGCTGAAGAGGCCAGTTTGTTGGTTCAGGATATTGATGCTGCTGTATCATCATGCTCCAAGGTATCTCTAGACATGCTTGTACATATTATTCCAATCGCTTAAATTAAACTTTTTGATTTTCAGAAGAGCTTAGAGTTTGGTCTAGAATGATGCTTCTCTTCTCTCCTATGATCTTGATAATTATTTTCATCGTTTAAATTCCAGATTGCTGAGTTGGAGTTATTGTATTCAAGGGCTTACAGCTCACAAATCCATGTGAAACAAAGTGAGAAGTTATCATAGAAAATATCTTTGGCTAAGTTATATCTTTTTAACATTCATAATTTAATAAAGTTTACATGACGATATTTTATTGTTGTGAAAACATTATTTATATAACAACTAAAAGTCGTTATAATATATGTATATTTTTCAATAACAATATAATTTGTTGCATTAATTCTTTTTCAACGGAGTTAATAGCAATGACAAAAAATCATTTCAAAAGATATCTAACAATGATAAAGTGCTATTTTGTAGCAACTTTGACCGTTACTAAATATTCACTTTCTTATAATGTTTTCTCCCAAGAAATTAAGGCTTTTTTTTTGTATTAGGATTCCCATCACAATTGCGATTGAAAGCAATTGCAATAGTAATCGTGCAATTTGCAAGTTTGATATGCTTTTCTTATTGAGTATAAATTCACCATAGTCAAAATTTTAAATCGAAATTTTATACATTATTTGACATTGTATTTGGAATTAAATTTAGCAATTGCCATTAAATGCAGCTCAATCACATTGATAATATCATAAGGATGTTTATTATTGTATTTCTTTTTAAGTTGGAGAATTGCTGCGTAAAAAGAACCTTAATGGTGGTGGTAAGGATCAATTTGATAACTCATATTTGATCAACTATATATAAAAAATGAATCGTTTGATTCATTGTTGTATCGTATGTACTGAATGATGGTCCGATTCATTACCTTATGTCGATTTTCTTATGTTAGGAGGAGTGCTAATGTCTTTGCAAATAATAACCTTGCTATAGTTGATTGTGAAGTGGGACACCAAAAATTGTGGTGGAAGTCTCTTCCTGAATTCTTTTGTACCCTCGACTCTTTTTCGGATATCTAATGAAATTCTACTATTTTTCATTAAAAAAATGTTCACACAAAGCTATTAAACCAGGCACTCAATCACACCAAAACACCATTACAATATGCAACCAATCATAATATAACTAAGGCCTAAGCAACACGAATGGCAACAAATGAAAATTTGTTTTAAATTTAACAATTTACAAAACAATCTTATAGCAAAGATAAGATGTTTATTCTCCACACGACTTAAAACAGATTTCACACTGCCACCAGCTTTCATATAGAGTAATGCACTTGCCTCCAGCAGCTTGTCTCAATTATTCCACTTGATAATCATCCAATTCAACCTGGAATAAAGCACATATAGATAAAATGAAATTTTCTTTATTAAAAGAATATTTATATATAATGCAAATTAAATTTATAAGAGATCAAATGAGAGTGCATATCCTCTAATTGTCCATAATAAATTGCAAATAGATAAAAAGTAAAAAAGATTTCATTATAATCCAAGTGTCTATCATGTAAAAAATGAAATAAATTAATTAATTAAATTAAATAGTATAAAAGGTCTAGCAAAAAGAATTAAAAAGACGAGTATTTAGTAGTTTACCAGAATTATTGTTTCTTCCCATCATGAAATTTTAAAATTTTTTCTGCCAATGTGGTGGTAGTCTCTCTTCAGCCCCGTCAATCTCACTTGGCCCTGCCCCTTTCTCACAGATATCTCTCTTTCGCTTTCCAAGGGCACCACCATTCCCTGTAGAAGCTGGACTGCTGTGCTGCTCTTGTATTTGTTCCATCTCTTCCAAATCTTTCTTATACACTATTCGAAGCCCATACTTCTTCACTTTGCAATACGACTCGTTTCGTATTCCCTTTCGTATTCCAGGTTCAAATTCGTTGACCTCATCGAGATAAAACTGGAAACGATACATATAAGTTAGCCAAAGGTGATCCTTCTTGGCATGGTGCCCCCAATTCATTGGGAGGAAATAACAGGTCCGACCATATTTACAATAGTAACCATCCATTTGATGGCAGATATCCTTCGACGGCAGATATCCTTCGACGGCTTCCACCTATCATTGTCAAAACTGTTGGCTTCATCATTGACAAAAACGCAGCAGAGAGCAACTCCCACCCACTGACTATCATTCTGAATATTAGGAGACAGTGTTATCTTTATTGAAGATCCATCCGTCCGATGGTTGAACCATTCTGGGATTTCACTTCCAGGTACAAAAATGTCAAAGACCCGTGTTACATTCGCAAATACCTGGAAAAAAAAACAAAAAAACCCCCCGTTGATTGGAAACTAATACAATAAATTCTAGAAAGTGAGATTCAGTGAGAAAGAGATACCAACCTTAATAATTTTTTTTAGCAAAGTCAATGGATTGTTTTTCTCAGCCAATTTGAAGCTGTTATTACCTCCAAATTCATCAAATCCCCGATGAAGTGAATCATTTCCTATTGCTGTTAGTGGATCTGCAGCTTCTTCCAGTAAAGCACAATCATCTATGCCCACTTGTTTCATCATAGGGAGAGGCTTAGGTAGTGCTTTAAGCTTCCTGCAATCTACCAAATCAAGCCAATCTAGGTTGGAAAGTCGAGTAAGAGTTTCTGGTAGGCAGATGAAATTGCACCATTAAGATCAAGTTCTTTCAAAGAGTATAAACAAACAATATCACTGGGAATATCCCAAAGGTTGCAGTCCCCTAGATTCAGTTTTATTAAAGAACTCAAAACCTGACAAAGGAGGTAACATCAGAGCCATGGAATCCGTAGTTCCCTGGCATCCTTTGAAAAACAAAACTTTCAGATTTTTAAATTGAAAAATGAAGGATGATGGCATTGTTATGGAAGTTTCACTTAAATCAAGCTCCTCCAAAAATTCTACTTGCAGCAAATTCTCTGGCAAAGTTTCAACTTTAGAACAACCAGCGAGATTAAGAGTTTTTAGACATTTACACCCATCTATGCTGCTTGGGAGACTCACAAGGTTACTGCAGTTTTTCAGATTTAACAAAACAAGATGGCTGAGATGCCAATTGAAGAGGAAAGTTCTTCAATGCCTGTTCCATCTAAATGAAGCAGCTGTAAACATTTCATTTCGCCATCAATCTCTGGAAACCTTTGAAGATTTGAACAGCCTAAAAGAACTAATTCATAAAGAGATTCCATTTCCAATTTTGGTTGGAAGAGATCTAAGACTTTTGCAGCCTCTTAAATTCAAAAGTCGAAGCTCGCTGAGATGTCCAATAAGAGGGAAGTTCGTCTTCTTCAATGCCTGTTCCATCTACATGAAGCTCCTGCAAATATTTCATTTCGCCATCAATCTCTGGAAACCTTTGGAGATTTGAGCAGTCTGAAAGAATTAACGTTTCAAGTGATTTCATTCCAATTTTGGTTGGAAGAGATCTAAGACTTTTGCAGCCTCTTAAATTCAAAAATTTAAGCCCGCCGAGTTGTCCAATTGAAGAGGGAAGTTCTTCAATGCCTGTTCCATCTAAATGAAGCTCCTGCAAACATTCCATTTTGCCATCAATCTCTGGAAACCTTTGAAGATTTGAACAGCCTGAAAGAACTAATTCGTAAAGCGATTCCATTCCAATTTTGGTTGGAAGAGATATAAGATTTTTGCAGCCTCTTAAATTCAAAATTTTAAGCCCGCTGAGATGTCCAATTGAAGAGGGAAGTTCTTCAATGCCTGTTCCATCTAAATGAAGCTCCTGCAAACATTTCATTGCAACATCAATCTCTGAAAGCCTTTCAAAATTTGAGCAACCAGAAAGAATTAATTGTTCAAGAGATTTCATTCCAATTATTTTGGTTGGAAAACTCCTAAGACTTTTGCAGCCTCTTAAATTCAAAAGCTTGAGCCCGCTGAGATGTCCAATTGAAGAGGGAAGTTCTACAATGCCTGTTCCATCTAAATGAAGCTCCTGCAAACATTTCATTTCCCCATCAATCTCAGGAAACCCTTCAAATTTTGAGCAATCCGAAATAATTAATTCTTCAAGAGATTTCATTCCAATTATTTTGGTTGGAAAACTCCTAAGACTTTTGCAGCGTCTTAAATTCAGAAGTTTAAGCTTGCTTAGAACTCTAACAGATGGATGAACATCTACTATTCTGGTGCAACCTTCCAAAATCAAAGTTTCGAGATTTGGAGCCCCTGTGAAGTCTGGTATCTGTATCAGGTTTTCGGAGCCTTGGAGGTCGACTAATTTCAATTTAGATAAAGACTGTTGAAAACAATAATAAATTAGAAAGGAAAGACAAAATAATAGAAAACACTTCGTTTTATTGTTATTTTCTTATCTTATTCAAACTTTTTATAATTCATCTCAAAAAAAGCTGAAAGACAAAAATCAAATTAATGAAGTGTTTCTTACACTGTTTTCCTTCCATAGTCGTTCAATGTGGCTATCAATTAGGAGAAGTGCAACAAGATTGTCTGGTTGGAAGCTTGGAGGCAAGGATCTGAAAGGATATTCACTCCAATCTAAAAGACGTAACTCATTAGAAAGATATTTGAGATCACGAAAATTTGGGAGACAAAAAACTCTGAGCAATCTTAGTCTTTTCATCTTCAAGAAGGCATCAGCATTCAAAGTGATCGCTTTGTTCTGTTCCCTGAAAAACAAGGGCAAAACAAAAATGACGAGTTTCAAAATACACCAAGCCTTCAAAATTAGATCTGACAATTCAAAACACAATATAGTAATATATAAAAACACAATATAAAAATATAATACGAAAATGACATGATTTAAAATTTTAACAATAACTATATATAAGTTTAACAAAACAAAAAAGATATATTTTATATTTTCATGTCGACACGAATTGTGATGGATAATTTTCGTGCAAAACATAATACGAATACATGAATTTTAATATTTTATACAATACGAATATACAAATTGTAAAGTCTATTCAAAACTAGAGAAAGCAAGAATCAATATTCAAGCTTATCTATCATTTTTTTCCTTCTAAATCACTCAAACTTTTTAGTTAAACCAATCAAATTTTTACCACACCATTTTTCTTCGCACATGTATCACATGATTCCAATTTCTTATTGGTTATGTTTTAATTTTAAGTAGTCATTACTATGACTTTCACTTTAATTTTGAGGAGCTATCAGGTGATTACCTAGGATTTTTTCATATTATTATATAATATATTCAATAGATCCAAGGACGAGTAAAAGGAAAAAAAAATTAATCTCATTTTTTAAATCTATTAAAATTAACAATTAAAAAATGTAAAACTTTTTAATGTAAGTTAATTCCTCCTATTATATACTATATAATACACACACATATATATATATAAACATAAAAAATGATATATATTATACAATTTGAATCAAGCTCAAATCTTAAATGTTGGAGTCAAGGTCCCTAAATGAGACTCATTTTTTGGTTCAATACTCCAACTAGAAAATGAGTCTTCAAGTTTGAACGGATAACTGACCCTTAAACATATATAATTCTGACTTTATTATAGAACTACAATAACAAAAAATTGAAAGGATGTAACGGAAGTGAAAATGTTAATGATATATATGATCTAGCAACCACAGGTCAAAAGTAAGTCGAGATTAAGTAATAATACATATACATATATACATTGATACATGTATATGTATGTTTTTGTACCTTTTAATGTCAATTACCATGCCTTCAATTGCTTCCGTGGCCTAGAAATCCAAAGAGTGAAGGATAAGAAGACACAAAATGCATGGTGTTATAAAATTAAAAGCTAAATTATAAGAGGAATGAACTAAAACAGGACATAATACTAAAGATTTTAAAAGATGAGGCTAATTCTCAATAAAGCTTAATACTTAACACTAAAAGAAATTAGTTTGGTCTTATTTAAATTAACACGAGAAATTTAAATAGAAAAATTCATAATTTAACTATAAAACTATAATGCAAATGAGGCTTTGTCTCAAGTTGCATGTATCATTATGTGTAAGTTTTGATCCAATTTCATTATCTATTTATTTGATATTATAAATAAAATAAAATACTTAATTGTGATTTTAACTTCATAAAAAAAAACTATAAAACTATAATAAAATGTACACTTAAATAGTCTTATTTTATTCTGGCCAAGAAAAGTAGTGTTATTTTATAATAAAATAAACTATAATAATCTTATTCTTTTCCATACTCAAGAATACTCATACATAATCCCAAATTTTTGGTTGTAAATATCCTAATTACAAAATCTTAATGTAATACTAGTAACATATATACCAAGTTAATAATTTTTCATGGTAATTGATTTATCATTTTGAGTAGAGTTGAGATTCTAAGTAAATAAATATGCAATATTTATGAAATGACTTACCGTGTTTTCTGTTAGCACGTGATAGACATCATTTTCCAGCCACAATCTACATTGTTTTCCAGGATAAACAAGAGATTTTTTTCTAACAATTGCTCTTCCCATCTCTTGTAGCAAGTCATGCATCCACAAATTGTTGTCTTCATCAATTTTTACCAGGGACTTATCAATGAGTTCATCTATTCCAATACCCGCTGAAAACTCACAACCATCTAGTATTTTTGTTACAAAATCTTTCTTTTCCCTGTTGAAGAAGCATGCTATGTCGAGAAAAATATTCTTTTGTGTCTCTGATAATCCATCGTAGCTGATTTGAAGCGTCTCATGAATATCTTTGTGAAGTTCATTTTTAAGTCTTTCAATTGCACTTCTCCATTGGGAAGCATCTTTATTCCACAACATGGATCCCAAAACTTCAAGAGCTAAGGGAAGACCACCAGCATATCCCACAACAGGCTTAGAAAGCTCAAAGAAATCATCAAATATATCATTTCCTGGCACTCTATCACTCTTGAAAGCGTTTAATGTGAAAAGATTAATTGCTTCATCAAAACACAATGTTGTAGCCTGATACACATCATCCACCCCGTGGACTCGTAGCAAATGTTCATCTCTAGATGTTACGATGATTCGGCTCCCTGAACCAAACCAATCATGCTTTCCAGCCAAGCATTTTAAGAGTTGCATATTATCGACATTATCAATAACAACAAGAACCTTCTTGTGTGATAGCCTGCCACTAATGATTTCATTCCCTACATGAACATCTGAAAACCTGAAATCTTCTTTCAAAATCTCATAAAGAAGTTGCTTTTGCAAATGAACAAGTCCATATATCTCTGAATTAAGTCGAACATCACCAAGAAAGCTTTTACCTTCAAAATGAGGGAACATTTTATAAACAACTCTTGCAAGAGTTGTTTTACCAATACCGCCCATTCCACAAATTCCTATAATGCGGACATCATCTTCTTTTCCAATGTCTATTTTCAAATACAACTGTTCCAAACGTGAGTTAATTCCAACCAACCCATTAGGAACATTTGAATATGTTTCACATAATTTTGCTGATATCATTGTAACAATCTCTCCAATAAATTCTGATTCAGACCTACAAACAAAAAGAGAAATAAACTTTAGTTGCTAGTTATGAAATTAACTATAGATAATGATAAATGAGCCAAGAAATTAAGAGTAAAAAAAAAAGTAAGAGTACAATATGTTGGGAATCACCACAGCACTAACACTATTTGTTAGGCTAAAAAGCCTCAATCCAATCACATTAGTGGATGCATAATCAAACAATTAATTAAACATGTAAGAAAATACAATTAACATAGTTCGATCCAACTAACCTATAATCACGGATGAGAAACAAGATCCACTAGCTGTAGAGAATTATAAACATACATCAAAACATATCAACCACTCAACAATCAATACCCATAGACCCTTTCAATCTCCTTTATTCTTATGAAATATTTTTAACCCAAACAAACACATACTCATATGCACCCATACATCATACCTATGTAGACCCTCTCAGTCTCTTCTAGTCTACTCACAAACAAACATACACACATATAAAACGTAAATCCCTAGTACTCTTATGGGGTGTCTATCTTATAAAAACCCTACAACTCTCTTAAATCTTTTTCTCATAACTAACCCTATAGAGACTTCACCTATTTATAAGTATACAAACTTTCCTATTAAGAATTCATTTCCTCTTAAAATTCTTTTTCTGCAAGTCAAACTTGGCTATTAAGAATCCATTTTCTTTTAGAATTCTTCTTCTGCAAGTCTTCTTATCCATCAAATAATATCTAACAAATTTCAAATAAATATCTTATGAGATTTGAGTCATTATTCCTAACAATTTCTACCTTGACTCAAATGCCACTTGTTGGGGATCATCACAACTCTGATACCACTTGTTAGGAATCACAACTCTGATACCATTTATTGGGCTAAAAAGCCTCAATCCAATCACATCAACTGAAGTATAATCAAACAATTAATCAAACACACAAGAGACAACAATTTAACATGATTCGATCCAATTGACCTACATCCACGGATAAAAAACATGATCCGCTAGTTGTAGAGAATTATAAACATACATCAAAACATATCAACCACTCAACAATCAATACCCATAAACCTTCTCAATTTCTTCTAGTCCTATGGAGTATTTTTAACCCAAACAAACACATACACATGTGCACCCTTTCAACACAACCAAACACATACTTATATGCACCCATACATCATACTTATGTGGACCCTCTCAGTCTCCTTTAGTCCACTCACAAACAAGCATACACACTCATAAGACATAAATTCCTAGTACTCCTATAAAGTGTTTATCTATTAAAATCCTAAAACTCTTTTACATCTTTTTCTCATACCTAACATTGTAAAGACTTCACCTATTTATAAGCATCCAAACTTCCTTATTAAAAATCTTTTTTCTTTTAAAATTCTTTTTCTGTAAGTCAAACTTACCTATTAAAAATTCTTTTTCTCTTAGCATTCTTCTTCTACAAGTCTTAGAATTCTTCTTCTACAAATCTTCTTATCGATCAAGTAATATCTAATAAATTCCAAATAAATATCTTATGAGATTTGAGTCATTATTCCTAACACAATAATCTTTTATCGAACAAATTTAGGATGCCTTTAAAGCCTCAAGTTTATTATTTGTAGCTTTTATAACTTAAATTAAGTATTACCATATCTATATCATATATATTAAAACTATCCCTAACGATACTATAGTGACAAGTGGCAAGTCTCATGTGTTATTTTTAATTGTTTCTAATATTTTTTCAAATATTTTTAATAGTTAATATGTTAACATTTGATCAACCCTTTATTTATTATGTGAAAATTTTTAAAATAAAAAATTTTCAAAAAAATTATTTACTTAATTATAATTATAATAAAAAGTATAATAGGAGTTAAGTATAGGGATGATGATGCATTGTTGGCAATTATAATGCCCTCAAATGTTTTTGTAAAGAAAAAAACAAGCACCTAAATAATAAAAAAATATCCATAAAAATATATTTAACTTATAAAAAAAATAAACCTTCAAAATTTTAAAACTAATCAACATATTAATTTCAATCACTTATCAAGACAAAAAAAATTGAAACTAAAATAATCAATTAAAAAAATAACCTACATGAAAATCAACAAAAAGATCTCACAAAAATAATAAAAATTCTTTTAAAATTGTCAGATTTAAATTTTAAATATTTTTTAAAATATCTTTTAAAAACAAAAATATAATTAAAAAACTAAAAATTTAGATTTGAGATTTTTTAATAAATTACAAAAAAAATTAACAACAACCTGTTAATACAAACAATCATATAAAAAACTTTAGGTATAAGATTTTCAAACTTTTTTTTAATCTAAAAATTTTTAAAATTAAAAAGGATAAAATTTTTTAAATTATATTTTATAAAAATTAAAAAATTCCCATGCGAAGCAGGGTATCATTCTAGTATCTATAAATTTATAGGAAATTATTTATGATTTTATTTTTCATAAATGTTTAATATATAAGTAATTCATAACTTAGCAACCTACTAAAAAAAATTCTTAATACATATTATATATATTATTTTAAACAAAACATGAAACATGGTGATCACTTTATTTTAAGAATCAGTTTATTCCTAGTAGAGTTTGGGACCAAAAACAGAGCAAGAATAAGAGGCAAGGCTATGTTACGACATCATGAAACAGAAATGACCCTTTAGTTAAATGAAACTCTATAATAATGCACCCTTTAGACTAAAAAAGTTTTTTAAGGTTATATATCATGTAATAAAAAAGAAAAACAACAATTTTATAGTCATTAAAATTGGAAACTAGAAAAGGAAAGAGTGTGTTGCCTTTTTTTTAAATGCCATCCCGTGATATCAGCCACTACACTCAAAGCTTCTCTCCACTTTTGGATCTTGTCTTCATTTTCCTTGCATCTCTCTTCATGTTTGGCAAAGGCTTCAGCTACTCTTCCTGTTTGTTTTCTCAAATCAGATGGATCCACTTCATAAAAAATTGGGAAAATTTTATGCCCCTTCTTTTCTTTCTGTTCAACAATCTCTGCAAGCTCGTCCAAGCACCAACCTGAAAAAGCATATGTTTCTGAGAAAACGATTACTGAACACCATGATTCTTGAATTGCTTTAAACAGTTCTGATGCGATTTCTTCTCCAGCCTCAAGCTTTCGATCATCCATGAAAGTCTCGATTCCACTCCTTTTTAAAGCAGCATAAAGATGATCGGTGAATTTTGTGCGGGTATCTTCACCTCTGAAACTCAAGAAAACATCATATTTCTGTTGAGAAGAAGAAGGAGATGATGATGATGGCAACGATGACATGAGGAGGTGGAAGAGGAATATATCTCAAGCTGGTGTTTGAACAGTTCCTTTTGCTTCAATTTATCAGAAACTAAAAACACGGTCAAGTTTGAGCATGAAGCTAGAGAACAACAGATCAATTTCTAAGGAAAGAAGAAAACATCTGTTAACAATTTCTCTGTCCAGGATGATTCGAAGAAAAGGGGGTGGGGAATTGGCAAAAAAAGAAAAAAAGAAAAAAAAAAAAGGAAGAAAGGAGGGGAATTGATTGCTGTGTTAATTACTGTTCATAGTACCTATTGCGTAAAGCAGACGCTAGTCAACGACTAAAAGAGTCTAGTTTCCATAGGAAATAGGAAAACAAACATTCTTCAACAATTTCCTTTGACTTTCTTATTATGGAAAGCTCTGATTACGTTAATTCCAAACTCTTTTTTTAAAACAAATCTCCGCCTAATGATGCTGTTTTGGGTCCAAGATCTACTATGATGTTCTTTCCGGGAAGAATCCACCGGGAAAAAATGGTAAAATGCTATAGGTCAAAATTGATTAAGTGATTATTAAGAGGGATAAGTTCTTTTCTGTTTTCAAACATTATTGTTTTGCTTTATTTTTGTAGTGTCCATCATATCTCATTTTGAACAATTAAATTGTAGAAGAAGAATAATATATATTGATATATAGATTTTAAAATTGTGTATTTTATCATGCTATAATCTCTTTGTTTTATTTTTTTATTAGTGGAGGCCATTAACTTTTTTTTTTTTTGGTTCAAAAGGTGCAAGACCCACTTTTTTTTTAGGTGTGATAAACACATTAAATTTTTTTGAATGTTTTTTCCAAGGGTTCATTCCTTTTTTTTTTAATTTTTTTAAAGGTGTGAATTCGTTTTTTTTTAAGTTAATTTTTGGGATGGAACTCAATTTTTTTTTAATTTTTATAGTTTTGTTATATTTTATAATTTTTTTAAAAAATAAAAAAAATATTTTTTAATTTTTTTTTTTTGTGAAAATCATTTATATCAAATGTCAAAATGGGAGGACGAGGAGCTTGACTTTAGCAATGGTATGGGTTACCGCTTGGGTTGAAGAAGAATGCAAAGATAGTGTAAATGGCATTTAGAAGAGATTAGGAGACATAGGAGGTGTGGTGATGAGTGAGGGAGGTCTGGCCGGCCATTAATGGAATTTTAGAGAAAGAGAGAGTTAGAGTGAACGAGAAAACAGAGATAAATTTTGAAACGAAAGTGGGAGAGATTTGGTGGCTTTTGATTCAACCGAATCAAAAATAAAATTTTTATTTTTTTTTCTTTTCTAACTTAAAATTATTTATCAATTAAATTTATGATATTTTATTATAATAGATCAAATTTCAAAATTTTTATTTAAAATTAATTAAATTTTTAAATATTTATTTTAATTCAATTAAATTTTTATATATTTATTTTCACTCAATTAAATTTTTAATTGGATAAAAATAGTTAATAATTTTTCTTCTAATAAAAACTCAATTGATAAAAATAAATACTTAAGAACTTAATTGATTAACAATAATAAAGACTTAAACAATTATTGAATTTTAATTCAAGGTTATTTTTTACCTTTTTGCCTACTTATTAACTTAAAGCAATGTTAATGTGTAATGTGGGGTTTTATAAATATCATACTGTATATTAAAATATAAATTCCAAAAAATAAAGTTGTTGACTAAAATGCTTTAAATAAATTTTATAAAAAAATATTTTTAATAAATTTTAATTTTAAAAAGAATGAAAATAATTTATTAAAATATCTTTAATAAATTTGTTCATTAATTTAATTTAAATGATATTTTGATTACTAGACCACATAAAACGGAGGTTGAAACTTGCTTTTTATTTTTTAGCCGAAACAAAAGCAGGAACTTTAAGGACTTTAAAAATGCTTTTTTATTTGTTATTTTTCTTCAAAGGAATTTATATATAATAGGGGGGTATTTTGGGTCACTGATGTGCCATGAAGTTCTTTCCAGGAAAATGCGAAGAGGCAGGGAATTTATTATTGTGTTAACTATTGTTCATAAAGAAAGATAGCTACTGCGCAACGTAAACACTGACAATGACCAAAAGAGTCTAGTTTCCATGGGAAATAGGAAAAATAAACATTTCTCCACAATTTCCCTTGACATTTATTCCTAACTTTTTTTTCTTTTAAACAAATCTCTAAGTAAATTGCTATGGGTAAAATTTGATTAAGTGATGATTAAAAGAGATAATATTTTTTTTTTTGTTTTCACACATTGTTGATTTGCTTTATTTTTGTGGTGTCTATCAAGTCCCATTTTGAACAATATAATAAAATTATGGAAGGAGAGTAGTATATGAATTTTGGAGCTTTCATCCTTTGGGTCTCAAAACAGTGGAACTGAATTACTAATACTATAATTTATGATTTTTATTCATATTGATAGAATAATCATCATTCTTCCCAGAGAGAAGTACTAGGAAAAGATGAGGAACTTCTTCCAAATTTGGAAGGAAATCCCTGGAAGCATAGTAAGCAATCTTTTTGGTCTTAGGTGGTTAAACCTCGTTTTTATTATATTTATTATAGTATTGATTTTAGATGGGTAAGGCCACTTCCACTTGCGCTTCAAAGTGGGGCAGGGAAAAAGCATATAGGAAGATAATAGTATCTATGGTGAAGACAGTCATTAAAGCATGCTTTTTACCTAAAACATCACTGGCCATGATCGACGACGGAGAGTTCATGTCCATCACAGACCATGTAAGCAATAGTTTTTTTTTTTTTTTTACTAGGTGATGACTAAGAAAAACAAGTTGTTTTCTATTTTGTGGTGTCTATCAAGTTTCATTTTGAACGATAAAATTGTGGAAGGAGAATCTATATATTGATACGTAGATTTTAAAATATTTCGTACTTTGCCATGTTATAAATTTTTTTATTTCCTTTTAATTAGTGGAAGCCACTAGCTTTTTTTTTTTTTTTCAAAAGATGCGAAACCCACTATTTTTTGTAGGATCCATTACTTTTAAAAAAAAAATTTTAAGGTGTGAAGTTTCTTTTTTGGTTAATTATTTTGGGTGGAGCTCACTTTTTTTTTTAATTTTTATGGTTTTATTATATTTTATAATTTTTAAAAAAGAAAATTAAAAATATATTTTTTAAAAGATTTTTTTTTTTATAAGACCCATTTATATCAAATGTCAAGATGAGAGGATGAGGAACTTGAGTTTAGCAATGCTGTGGGTAGCCACTTGGGTTAAGGAAGAAGGCAAAAATAATGTGAGTGGAACATAAAAGAGATTAGGAGACATAGGAGGTGCGATGATGAGTCAGAAAGATGGATTTTTAAAGAAAGAGAAAGTCGAGTAAACGAGAAACAGAGATGAATTTTGAGACAAAAGTTGGAGAGATTTAGTGGGTTTTGGTTCAATCGAACCAACAATAGTGTCATAATAATTTTGGAGGCAGCCAGATAAATTTGAAAATAAAAAAAATTTATCATTAATTTTTTTTACTAAATGTGATCAACCACTTATTAAAATATATCATTTTAATAAAAACTTTAAAATTAATTCAAATTTTATCAAAAAGATAATTTTTTTAAATATGTAAAAGTAGTCTGGATTCAAAAATTGATTATGCATAAGGAAATATTAGCACCCCCACAGTATCCATAAAAATAATACTGATTAATTTTGTGTTATCTTTTGATTTTTATTTAAAAGGTCTTAATTTTGGTATTTAAAATTTAATTTTCTTTATTGTAGTAAAAAATGCAATTTTATTTTTAGTTGTTTATTAGAAAAACAAATAGGAACCTACATATTGAAAAATCTCCAAAAAATTCCAATACTCTAACAATATTAAAAAAAACCATGGCACCTAAGGAATAATTATAAATCACTACTCGAAATTTTCAAAAATCCTATCCTTGGTGAATCATATTTATTTTCAATTTATATTAAAAAATATAAAGTATAATATCTATAATTTAAAATCAAATAATATTTTCTAAAAATTCATTTTTATGCCATTTATAAAACAATTAAAAATCTTTATCAAAATTTATTCTAAATACTTTAATACATTGGTGACATTTTAAATAAATTTTCTTACCTAAGATTTCAAAAAAATTCACTATTCGAATTTTCTTTTGATCTCATTCTCAAAGATTTTTTTCGTTTGCTTATAATAATTATTAAATTTAAAAGTTATGTAATAATATAATTATCTATAAATAAGTTTATTTCCAAATAGGTATATTTTAATATTAGTAAAAAAAAAAGCTACTCAAATAAAAAAAATGATAAAATGAAAATTTTTTGTATTGAAAAGAACTTCTAAATATTCTAATACTTCAGTAATTTTTAAAAGATTTTTCTCACTTAGAGAATTTTTGAGACTCACTATTTAGACTTTTCAAAGTCTCATCATAATAAGTTCTATTTACATGTAAGATCATGTAATGTAGAACAATAAAACAAAATATACATATGAAAAAATATAATATTTATCATTTTTTTGTTACTCGTTTTGATTTAATCTCTTTAATTATCTTACAATTATCATTAAAAACATTAGAAAGGAACAAAGTAAATAAAATCTTTTATTGAAAATTTTTTTTAAATACCTCGATACTTTGGTGGCATTTTAAAAGACTTTCCTCACCTTAAAATTTTTTAAGAATCTTTAGTCTGACTTTCTTAAAATCTCACATCGAAGGTTTTTTTAAAATTTAAGATATGTAATGCAAACAATAAAGTAGAATATGCACATGAAAAATATATATTACTTATTATTATTATGTTATACTTTTTGTTATTCATTTTAATTTTGTTTTAATGTTTTTTAATTATTTTACAATTATCAATAAAAACTTTAGAATGGAACAAAGTAAATAAAATCTTTTTTTGAAAATTTTTCTAGATATACAAATACTTTTGCGCTATTTTAGAAGAGTTTTATCACTTAAAAATTTTTTAAAAATCTTTACTCGAACTTTCTTATAATTTTATCTTCGAAAACTTCATTTACTTTTTTCTTTCTTAGTTGATTATTATTCTAATTCTAATATTTAGTTTTGATTAAAATTTTTGATAGATAAAATTAATTTATCACAATATTAATCATCATATATTATTTTATCATTGTACAATATAATCTTAAAAAAATAGATAAACGAAAATTTTTTGAATTTAATATTTTTCTAAATACTTTATTACTTTAATAATATTTTTGAAAAAATACTCTCATCTAAAGATTTTAAGAAATAATTATTAAGACTTCTTTAAAATCTCACCCTTGAAAATTTTTTGTTTACATTATTATTATTGCTTATTTTACATAAATCTAAAATAAAAT